TGACCCAGAGTGCTAGGAGTAGAGCACAAGTCTGGGACAGGCTTGATGCAAGATGCAAATTCATCAAGGATCTACCCTGTTAACTATGTAAAGGTTCAGGTCAATCCCACCAATGCCCCAAGGTTTAGGGGAGGATCTCTTGGTTTGGAAAACAGGTGGAGACATTTATGGAAGAGCACCCCAGACTTGATGCTGTAGATGGGGACAGCAAGGTCACATGCAGGCTAATTGTCCCAAGAGTTGTAGGGAGATGTCCAACTTTACAGCCACGGCTGGAACACATCTCACAGCCGTCCTTCCGGGATGTCCGGAGTGCACTCCACTAGGTAAATGATAAGCTGACTTTGGCTTGCATGTGCGATAGCCCGTCGGAGGCCCATCTCCATGACTACTCCTGCGTGCCGCCGCCTCACTGCGCATGTGCGATAGCCCATCGGAGGCCCATCTCCATGACTACTCCAGCGTGCCGCCGCCTCACTGCGCATGTGCGATAGCCCATCGGAGGCCCATCTCCATGACTACTCCAGCGTGCCGCCGCCTCACTGCGCATGTGCGATAGCCCATCGGAGGCCCATCTCCATGACTACTCCAGCGTGCCGCCGCCTCACTGCGCATGTGCGATAGCCCATCGGAGGCCCATCTCCATGACTACTCCAGCGTGCCGCCGCCTCACTGCGCATGTGCGATAGCCCATCGGAGGCCCATCTCCATGACTACTCCAGTGTGCCACCACCTCATTGCGCATACGCCCCCATAGCCACACACCTATTGGCGTGCATTCCAATTCACCTCCAGAAGCCATATTTGGCAATGGCAGCACTTGATCTCCCTCTGCTGCCAGTATAGTAACACTACTCATGAATACTCCATACATCTAAAGACAAAGATCTGCCCAATGACCCCACTGACAGCCCACACAAAGCAAGGACATTCTGGCTGCCATTGAAAATATATGTGTATACCTACTTTGTGTTCACATTTATCTCCATGGAAAGAAGCCAACAATTGAGGACCAGCAGGCTTTTATCCAAAGGAATTATGGATTCAGTTCATTCATTTTTACTTTTTATACATTGTGCTGATCCAACAATATTATCCCCATGAACCCCAATGCAGCATTCCCAATATGTCATTATTTATTATATGGGGATATATATATATACACAGACTATATGACCTCCTCATGTATATATTACACTGCCCTGCGTTTCTTACAGCTTTAATGCCGGTGAATGTTTCTAATGTCTCTTACTATACCTCTTGATGTTTAATGTATTGTTGCTTGTGGAGCATGTTGTGATGTCACTTTGTCCCGCCTCCTTTCCCGGGACTGCCCAACCCAAGTGGGAGGGTCCAACCTCTGTCCCAGGGTATATATAGAAGAGGGCTGTCATTGCCAAGTCAGCTCTGATGAAGAAGGGACTTGAAACGCGTCAGCCTGACTCTGAGAACCTTCCCTCGTGTTTAGACTCAGCTGGTCTCTGATTGGTCAAGTCTCACTAAGGACTTTACACGCTTGTTATACTTCTCTGTTTGTGAGGATATTTTCACATCCAATAAAATCACATTTTACTGAGGTAATGCACAAGGTTGGTGCGCTTTTTGTTTCACTTTACAGTATTGGTGGGGCTTCCCCAGCCTTGTTTAGAGCCGCACAACCTTTGATGCCTTGGTGGGGAAGTTCTTCAAGTTCCGGGTCCATCTATCCACCCTTGTTCTGGGCCATAGAGGTCAGGAGGGGTTGTTTTGTGTTTACACCCGCAGTACCATTCCTCCAGTCACTTTCCGGGTCGTTACCATCCCCCATTATTATCACTGTCCCAGCCCTTTCCATCTGTGGGAGGAGCTGAGTCTCCACCTCCTCATTAACACTGGGAGGCCTATAACAAACTCCAATGATGACCTTTGTAGTACCGCCCCCCATGTGCAGTTCCACCCCTAATACTTCAGCCTCATCACACTCTCCATCAACTAGGTCCTCTTTCACACTCGCTCTGAGATCACTTCTCACATAGAGACAGACTCCACCACCTTTCCTATTTCCCCCGTCTCTCCGAAAGAGAACCTAGCCAGGAATATGAATGGCCCAGTCATGTGAGGAATGAAGCCAAGATTCAGCAATACCAATTCAATCCTAGTTCTCTTCATGCACCAAACCTTCTTACTCACCTATTGTGCTGGGCACACTTCTGGCATTGGGGAACAAACACTTTCATTCACTGACACCTTGTTCATTCACTGACGCCTTGTCCATTCACTGACACCTTGTCCAATCACTGTCACCTTGTCCATTCACTGACACCTTGTCCATTCACTGACACCTTGTCCAATCACCGCCACCTTGTCCATTCACCACCACCTCGTCCATTCACCGACGCCTTGTTCATTCACCGACACCTTGTCCATTCACTGACACCTTGTTCACATGGATTTTGAGCATTTTTTATTTTCATACAAATGGTACCAATTCCACTGGTTTTTTTGTAACACCAACAAGTACTGACCCCATCTGATCTGTCTACCCCGTTAAAACTGAATTCTCCCTCCCCCTCCATCCTAGTTTATATACTCCTCCAGCCTTCCCATAAACCCCTCCCCCAGCACAGCAGACCCCCTTCCATTTATATGCAGACCATCTCTAGCATATACAGTGAAGGAAATGCATATTTGCTCCCCTGCTGATCCTGAATGTTCACCCCTCACACAGAAATGATCGGTCTAACAATGGAATGTTCGGTGTAACACTGAGAGACAGAATACAACAACAAATTCAGCAGAAATGCGTCTAACAAATGATGACTGATCTGCATATTCATGAGGGAAAGAAGGATTTGATCCCCTTCACAAAACATGACTTAGTACTTGGTGGCCAATCCCTTGTTGGCAATCAGGTCATATGTTTCCTGGAGTTGGCCCCCAGGTTTGCACACATCTCAGGAGGGATTTTGGCCCACTCCTCTTGGCAGATCCTCTCCAAGTCATTAAGGTTTGGTGGCTGACGTTTGGCAACTCAAACTTTCAGCTCCCTCCACAGATTTTCAATCGGATGAAGGTCTGGAGACTGGCTAGGCCACTCCAGGACCTTAATGTGCTTCTTCTTGAGCCGCTCCTTTGTTGCCTTGGCCGTGTGTTTTGGGTCATTGTCATGCTGGAACACCCATCCCCCACCCATTTTCAATGCCTTGGATGAGGGAAGAAGGTTCTCACCCAAGATTTGATGGTACATTGCCCCGTCCATCGTCCCTTTGATGCGGTGCAGTTGTTCTGTCCCCTTAGCAGAAAAACACCCCCAAAGCAGAATGTTTCCACCACCATGTTTCACAGTTGGGATGGTGTTCTTGGGCTCATAGGCAGCATTCCTCCTCCTCAAAACACGGCGAGTTGAGTTGATGCCAAACAGCTGGATTTTGGCCTCATCTGACCACAACACTTCCCACCAGTCCTCCTCTGCATCATTCAGATGTTCAGTGGCAGACTTCAGACGGGCCTGGACATGTGCTTTCTTGAGCAGAGGGACCTTGGGGCACTGCAGGATTTCAGTCCTTGTCGGCGTAGTGTGTTACCAATTGTTTTCTTGGTGACTGTGGTCCCAGCTGCCTGGAGATCATTGACAAGATCCTCACGTGTAGTTCTGGGATGATCCCTCACTGTTCTCATGATCATTGACACTCCACGGGTGAGATCTTGCATGGTGCACCAGACCTAGGGAGACTGACACTTGTTTTGTGTTTCTTCCATTTGTGAATGATTGCACCAACTGTTGTCACCTTCTCACCAAGCTGCTTGGCCATAGTTTGGTAGCCCAGTCCAGCCTTGTGTAGGTCTACCATCTTGTCCCTGACATCCTTGGACAGCTCTTTGGTCTTTGCCATGGTGGAGAGTTTGGAATCTGATGGTTTGATTGCTCCTGAGGACAAGTGTCTTTTATACAGGTAACACAATGAGATTAGCAGAACTCCCTTTAAGAGACTGCTTCTAATCTCAGCTTGTTACCTGTATGAAAGACACCTGGGAGCCAGAAATCCTGCTGAATGATAGGGGATCAAATACTTCTTTCCCTCATGAACATGCAGATCAGTCATCATTTGTTAGACGCATTTCTGCTGAATTTGTTGTTGTATTCTGTCTCTCAGTGTTACACTGAACATTCCATTGTTAGACCGATCATTTCTTTGTGAGGGGCGAACATTCCATTGTTAGACCGATCATTTCTGTGTGAGGGGCGAACATTCAACATCAGCAGGGGAGAAAATACACATTTCCTTCACTGTAGGCTGCACCCCAAAAGTCAGCCCAGTGCTCTAGGTCAGGACATTTTTATTCTTCTCCTGCAATCAATGGTCAAACACGGTCCCACACTTCATCCATGTCTTTGGGGGCCTCTGATCTCCTTATGAACTGTTTCTTCCATGATGAAGATCAGCAATGGAATATATCTGATGTGTATATCAGGGTGTGCTTCTTCCCCACATGAGAGCTGGGATGTCCAGCAACATTCATCTAGAAGACATTTCCCGCACTCAAGGCACTAATATACCTCCAGGGTTTTGTGGGACCCCTGATGTACAGGAAGACAGGACTTCAGTGAGGAACATTTCCCTCACTCAGGACAGGAAAATGGCTTCTCCCCGTGTGTAATCTCTCATGTCTGTGAAGATTGGACTTATCTGAAAAACATTTTCCACACTCAGGACAGGAATACGGCTTCTCCCCCGTGTGAGATCTCTGATGTTTACGAAGACTGGACTTCTGTGAAAAACATTTCCCGCACTCAGGACAAAAATACGGCTTCTCCCCCGTGTGAGATCTCTGATGTTTATGAAGACTGGACTTCTCTGAAAAACATTGTCCGCACTCAAGACAGGAATATGGCTTCTCCCCCGTGTGAGATCTCTGATGTTTATGAAGACCAGACTTCTCTGAAAAACATTTCCCGCACTCAGGACAGGAATACGGCTTCTCGCCCGTGTGAGATCTTTGATGTGTGTAAAGATTGGACTTCACTGAAAAACATCTCCAACACTCTGGACAGGAATATGACTTTTCCCCCGTGTGAGATCTCTGATGTGTGTGAAGATTGGACTTCCGTGAAAAACATTTCCCACACTCAGGACAGGAATATAGCTTTTCCCCCGTGTGAGATCTTTTATGCACATTAAGATCAGATTTAGATTGGAAACATTTCCCGCACTCAGTACAGGAGAAGCTCTTCCCTGTTGGAAGGCCAGCCCGGTCCCGCACAGTCTGAGGTTCCTCAGGATACGAGGAATCCGATGGTCCATCTACACTGGGTGGTGCTGGATAGACATTGGAGGGAGCCGGGTTTTCTCCTGGACTATACTGTGTGATGTCCTCATCTTCTACTTTCCAGTCTGGAGACAAAGTGAGACAATCCTCGGAGGTTTTCCTCATCTCCCGGCCATGGACTAAAATACAAAAGACAAAGAGGATTACTAGACAGGAGCTGATTGGTTCCCCTAAACCAGGACTCCACCCACATCAGGCAGCTTGGTCTCTGAGGAGCTTACAATTCCACCCACAAGAGAACTAGGTAATGGCTCCTCTGATCTCCTACCAGGTCATTTCTTTATTCATGGACCTTAGTCAGAGAGTGAGGAAACAACCAGAACTGTCTTTTATAGGAGGGACAGTGATGAGGGGATTATAGGACGAGGGTCCCCATCCCCTCTATCACTCATCGCCATCTTCCCAACACAAGAAGTACTGCACTTCCTTATTTAGTCCATGATTTAGTCATGAAGAACAGCGGGGCTGAGCCCCACCAGAGGTCAGAGAGTGAGGATGGGGAGAGAACAACCAAGATGAAGACTGGACTGATCCTGAAGACCACCATCATTGGGGTATTGACTCCTCCCTCATTATCACTTTCTGTTTAAGGGTCCAAAGTTGGAGGATGTTATCACATTATTATCACCATGTAAAAGTCTGTGCTCCAATCACATCATCCGATATAAAATGTCCAGCTGGGAGGAAATGGGTGTAACATGAGAGAATCCATATTATGTGTATATATAAGCAGTGGGGGGAGGGGGGAAAGCAGGAGTCTGGACTATGGAATGTACAACATAGAGTATATAGTGCAGGGGTCAGGAGTATATAATGTACAACATGGAGTATATAGTGCAGGGGTCAGGAGTATGTAATGTACAACATAGAGTATATAGTGCAGGGGTCAGGAGTATGTAATGTACAACATAGAGTATATAGTGCAGGGGTCAGGAGGATGTAATGTACAACATATAGTATATAGTGCAGGGGTCAGGAGTATGTAATGTACAACATAGAGTATATAGTGCAGGGGTCAGGAGTATGTAATGTACAACACGGAGTATATAGTGCAGGGGTCAGGAGTATGTAATGTATAACAGAGTATATAGTGCAGGGGTCAGGAGTACAGTTGCAAGAAAAAGTATGTGAACCCCTTGGGATTTCATGGAGTTTTGCATGAATTGGGCATAAAATGTGCTCTGAATGTCATCTAAGTCACAGCAATAGAAGAACACAGTCTGCTGAACATAATACTACACAAACATTAGATGTTGCCATGGTTTAATTGCACATAACATGTAAACATTCACAGTGCAGGGAGGAAAAAGTATGTGAACCTTTGGACTTAATAACTGGTTGACCCTCCTTTGCAGCAATAACCTCAACCAAACGTTTCCTGTAGTTGCAGATCAGACCTGCACAACGATCTGGAGTCATTTTGGACCACTCCTCTTCACAAAACTGTTTCAGTGTAGCAATATTCTTGGGGTGTCTGGTGTGAATCGCTCTCTTAAGGTCATGCCACAGCATTTCAATCGGGTTGAGGTCAGGACTCTGACTGGGCCACTCCAGAAGGCGTATTCTGTGCTGTTGCAGCCATTGTTTTGTTGAATTACTTGTATACTTTGGGTCATTGTCCTGTTGCATCACCCATCCTCTGCGGAGCTTCAGTTGGCGGACAGATGGTCGTACGTTTTCCTGCAAAATGTCTTGATAAACTCTGGAATTCATTTTCCCATCAATGACAACAATCTGTCCAGGCCCTGAGGCGGCAAAGCAGCCCCAAACCATGATGCTCCCTCCGCCATGTTTTACAGTGGGGATGAGGTTTTGATGTTGGTGTGCTTTTTCTCCACACATAGTGTTGTGTGTTCTTCCCAAACAACTCAATCTCGGTTTCATCTGTCCACAGTATATTTTGTCAGTAGTGCTGTGGAACATCCAGGTGCTCTTTTGCAAACTACAAACGTGCTGCAATATTCTTTTTAGACAGCAATGGCTTCCTCCGTGGTGTCCTCCCATGTACTCCATTCTTGTTTAATGTTTTCCTTATTGTAGATGTGTCAACAAAAATGTTAGCATGTGCCAGAGATTTCTGTAGGTCTTTAGCTGACACTCTGGGATTCATCTTTACCTCATGCAGCATTCTGCGCTGTGCTCTTGCAGTCATTTTTACAGGACGACCACGCCTAGGGAGAGTAGCAACAGTGCTAAACTTTCTCCATTTGTAGACAGTTTGTCTTACCGTGGACACATGAACATCAAGGCTTTTGGAGATACTTTTGTAACCCTTTCCAGCTTCATGCAAGTCAACAATTCTTGATGGTAGGTCTTCTGAGAGCTCTTTTCTGCGAGGCATGGTTCACATCAGACAGTGCTTCTTGAAACCAGTAAACCCAAAACACGTGTGTGTTTTTTAAGGGCAGGACAGCTGTCAGCAGCAACACATCCAATATCATCACACTGATATTGGAGTCAAGGTTGGCTCACTCCTGGCTCCAATTAGCTCTGGGAGAAGTCATTAAGCTAGGGCCTCACATACTTTTTCCTCCCTGCACTGTGAATGTTTACATGTTATGTGCAATTAAACATGGCAACATCTAATGTTTGTGTAGTATTATGTTTAGCAGACTGTGTTCTTCTATTGTTGTGACTTAGATGACGTTCAGAGCACATTTTATGCCCAATTCATGCAAAACTCCACGAAATTCCAAGGGGTTCACATACTTTTTCTTGCAACTGTATGTAATGTATAACAGAGTATATAGTGCAGGGGTCAGGAGTATGTAATGTACAACATAGAGTATATAGTGCAGGGGTCAGGAGTATGTAAATGTACAACATAGAGTATATAGTGCAGGGGTCAGGAGTATGTAATGTACACAACAGAGTATATAGTGCAGGGGTCAGGAGTATGTAATGTACAACACGGAGTATATAGTGCAGGGGTCAGGAGTATGTAATGTACAACATGGAGTATATAGTGCAGGGTCAGGAGTATGTAATGTACAACATGGAGTATATAGTGCAGGGTTCAGGAGTATGTAATGTACAACATGGAGTATATATAGTGCAGGGTCAGGAGTATGTAATGTACAACATGGAGTATATAGTGTATTTAGTATTCATGACCCACCTGTGCTGATCTCTGTAGGAGTGTCCTCCTCTATAAATGTCCCCGTTATTCCATCCTCCTCCATAGACTGCTGATCATCCCTCACATACGCCTCTTCTTCTTCTGCTTTAATCTCAACTTTTATATCTATCAGATCTTCACCCTAAACCAAGAAAATTAGAAATTTCACATAATATATAAATATAAGCTAACATGAAAAATCAAATATTATCTCCACAAGTCCATGTTCTAGATGCTCCATCCCACCAACCTTGTAATGGTGAGGGATGGTGTGATCTTCCTGTGTGGAATCCCGGGAATACAGAGGACGGGGACATCTCTCTGGTGGGTTCCTGTAGCTGGATGACTCCATCATGGTGTCCTGGTACAGATCTTTGTGTTCTCTTTTAGAAGCTCTGACTCCTCCATCCCCCCATCCTCATCCTCCCTCCTCTCTTTTAATCTCTTCTTTAACCTCAACTTTAGAATCTCTCAGGTTTCCATACTCTGAATTATATAATATAAAATGACATCATGGTCAATGGTAACATCCTAATGCAGATATGCTACCTGTGATGGTGACAGTTTGAACCTTTCCTAATGATACTGATAATGATCAGTGACTTGTGAGAGACTTCACCCAGGTGTCCGTACATCTTTGTGTTCTCTAGAAGCTCTATTCCCCCCAGCATCCTGCATCCTCATTCTCCTCTCCTGTCAGCCAGTTTCCACTCATCATCTAACAATGCCTTGGTGATACTTCAGTGATGGAGAATGACCCGAATTCCCGGCACCGCTCACCTTCTGCCTCCATCATGTTGTAGAATCTCTCAGGGTCTCTCAGGTTTAGGGGTGTAGTCACATGGAAGCACTGTGATGGTCATATGATCACCTGACTTCAGAAGAGGAAATCTCTGTATTGAGGAAAACCAATAGGAATATCATGTTAGAATCCCAAGAATCCTCCTTCACCGTCTCCGGTCAGGTCTGTCGTGTTATTAATAGAGCATATGTGGTGATGTCATGTGACCTCCCAGAATCCTCCTCAACCTCTCCGTCAGGTCTGTGTATTATTATAAGATAAGAGTGATGTCAGTACTCCAGAATCCACCTCTCACCTCTCTGGTGCAGGTGTCTGTGTGTATTATTAATAGAGATAATGAGTGATGTCATGAGAACTTCCCCAGAATCCTCCTCACCTCTGCTGGTCAGGTCTTGTGTTCTTATTAATAGAGATAAGAGTGATGTCCATGTGACCTCCCAGAAATCCTCCTCACCTCTCCGGTCAGCAGGTAGTTGATCTCCAGGGTGAGGTTTAGTATCATCTCAGTCATGTGAATCGGTCCTCCCTCCATCCTTAATTGGTGGCCATCATGTGATCTATACAGGTCTCCTTGTAGACAGATAACTTTGGGAAGGGAATGAAAGTTAAGAATGATTTGGGAATGGTATTGGTCCACACAAATAATTAGGTTGTGTATGTGAGGATGGAATAGGAGGGTTGGCGTGGACCAGTGAGAACTACTCCCCACATGGGTAGGACACTTTTGTTTGGTCTGTTTTAGTGTTTTTCACTACAATTTTGGGAGGTCCTGGGGCCTTTTCTCTGTTGAAGTTTAGTGTTTGGTCTCTGAACTGGTTTTGGATGAGCTTTAGATCTGCAGACAAGGAATGAATAAATCTGATCCTTCCTATGACTAGTTTGCTATGAGGCAGTTGCTGTGATGGGTCATTGTCGGCTAATCATGCAGG